ATATTAGGGAAATTTTCAACTATAATCTCTTCAAGTATTTTCTCAGTCCCTTTCTTTTTCTCTTCTTCTTTTGGAACCCTTATAATTTGAATGTTGGTGCATTTAATGTTGTCCCAGAGGTCTCTGAGGCTGTCTTCAATTCTTTTCATTCTTTTTTCTTTATTCTGCTCTGTGGTAGTTATTTCCACTATTTTATCTTCCAGGTCACTTATCCGTTCTTCTGCCTCAGTTCTGCTATTGATTCCTTCTAGAGAATTTTTAATTTCATTTATTGTGTTGTTCATCAATGTTTGTTTGCTCTTTAGTTCTTCTAGGTCCTTGTTAAACTTTTCTTGTGTTTTCTCCATTCTATTTCCAAGATTTTGGATCATCTTTACTACCATTTCTCTGAGTTCTTTTTCAAGTAGACTGCCTATTTCCTCTTCATTTGTTTGGTCTGGGTTTTTACCTTCCTTCTTCATCTGCTGTGTATTTCTCTGTCTTCTCACTTTGCTTAACTTACTGTGTTTGGGGTCTGCTTTTTGCAGGCTGCAGGGTCATAGTTTCCGTTGTTTTTGGTGTCTGCCCCCAGTGGGTAATGTTGGTTCAGTAGGTTGTGTAGGCTTCCTGGTGGAGGGGACTGGTGCCTGTGTTCTGCTGGATGAGTCTGGATCTTGTCTTTTTGGTGAGCAGGACCACGTCTGGTGGTGTGTTTTGGCGTGTCCTTTACCTTATTATGATTTTAGGCAGCCTCTCTGCTATTGGGTGGGTTTGTGTTCCTGTCTTGCTAGTTGTTTGGCATGGGGTGTCCTGCACTGGAGCGTGCTGGTTGTTGAGTAGAGCTGGGTCTTAGTGTTGAGACAGAGATCTCTGGGAGAGCTCTCGCCGATTGATATTATGTGGGGCCAGTTGGTCTCTGGTGGTCCAATGTCCTGAATTCGGCTCTCTCACCTCAGAGGCTCAGGCCTGACAGCCGGCCAGAGCACCATGACCCTCTCAGCCACACAGCTCAGAAGAAAAGGAAGAAAAAAAAGAAAGAAAAATAAAATAAAAAGTTATTAAAATAGGGCTTCTCGGGCTTCCCTGGTGGCGCAGTGGTTGAGAGTGGGCCTGCCGATGCAGGGGACACGGGTTCATGCCCCAGTCCGGGAGGATCCCACATGCCGCAGAGCGGCTGGACCCGTGAGCCACGGCCGCTGAGCCTGCGCGTCCGGAGCCTGTGCTCCGCAGCGGGAGAGGCCACAACAGTGAGAGGCCCACGTACCACAAAAAATAATAATAATAAAATAAAATAAAATAGGGCTTCTCTAGTGGCGCAGTGGTTGAGAGTCCGCCTGCCGATGCAGGGGACACGGGTTCATGCCCTGGTCCAGGAAGATCCCACATGCCGCAGAGCGGCTAGGCCCGTGAGCCATGGCCACTGAGCCTGTGCGTCTGGACCTGTGCTCCGCAACGGGAGAGGCCACAACAGTGAGAGGCCCGTGTACCGAAAAAAAAAAAAAAAAGACGGGAATTCCCTGTAATGCTGCCAGGAGTTTCAGTGCAGAGGAAGACTGTGAGTAATAGGACAAACTCCTGAAATGACCAAGTCAATAAGTGACAATAAAAAGAAAGCCATAAATCTCAAAAGAGGAAAGGTTTGAGTATTGTTGGAAAGCAGCAATTGGAATCTAGGAGAATACCAAGCCTAAGGCAATGGGATATAGAATAATGAGTACCTTTCTCTAAAAATAAATAAATTAATTAAAATTTTAAATTTAAAAATAATAATAGAAAAGTCTATTAGGAGGAGGCGAAGTTCAGTTAAGAAAGAAGGTAAGAGTCTTCAAGGAGACTGATGATACAGAGAAATTCAGAGTCCAAGAGGGCACTATAGGAAGGGTGGAAAAGAAAGCTATCAATGGAAAGAAAATTTTGAGTGGTAAAACACAGAATAGATTAGAGAGAGGGTAGAAATTTTTGAGGTGCTTACATTTTAGAGAGTGGAAATGATACAAATAAAAGATATGGTTAGAATAATAACCTTGAGGCAGAAGACCCATGTCTGTCAAAAGCCTGATCAAGTTAGCAGACTGGTAAGATGCTCTGTGTGTCTGAAGAGCCATTCCTTTGTCTGGTTACAGGGGAATATTAGAACTCCTGTGGTCCAAGGCTTCACAAAAGTGTTCTGAAGCAGCTTGGGGAAAACAACCCTTGTGAACATTTCCTCCCAGGCCCTTGTACAGAAGCTCGCTAACTCCCCAAATACTCTCCTACCAATAGTAGCACTGCAGAGTTTTCTTTTGCAGGAACTGGAAATGATTAGGATGTCCAAATTGTCTGCCTAAACTGCATCTCTTTTTTTTTTTTCTAGGTTTATTGAGCTGTAGTTGATATATAACATTGTTTAAGGTTAAGGTATACACTGTGATTATTTGATACATGTATTTTTACCACAATAAGGTTAGTTGACACATCCTTCACCTCACACAATTACCATTTTGTTGTTTTGTTGCTAAACTGTATCTTCAAACTAAAGAGAAGAGCCATGTAAAGGAAAGTTTACACATAGCCATCCTACAAGCAGATGGGGAAACAGTTGCAGGGGGCAAGTGTAAGTGGGGCTTTCCACCCTCATAACCAGGAACCAAAAAACAAATTAGTTACCAAACAAATTTGTTAGCTTTGTGCCTTACCCATGCTTGTGATAGTTTGGTGATCCCTGTCTATTTCACTCTACCACTTTACATTAAAACACTAAAAATAAAAAATCTCTATGTGCTCGTTTTCCTGGGACACAAAAAAAGAGGCGAGCTTGGAAGACTGCATCTAACTTTCTAACTGCCCAAAAATATACTAGGTGGTGGTAGCTGCTAAGAACAGAGGACGACAAGACCACGAAATCTTTGAGATGTGACAGAGAGCCAGGCTAGGTTAAGAAAGAAGGCCCTGGAGAAAAGCCCGGTGTAGTTCTATGATATGTGATTAAGCAGACTCTAAAAAAACCAAGATTTTAATGTGTGCACAGAATTATATTTTAATAGCAGTGTTTTCCTTATTGATGTATTCTCTCACTCTGATGAATGTTTCCATCTGCTGACTCACAGCCTAACTTTGATCATCATTGTTTTAGCCTAAAAGCTCTAAGATTACATCTTAGCAATAGCTTGCATTCTTGCCAGGTTTACTTCATTGCTTAATCAACAAATGCCATGCAGACATTTTTTTAATAATAAAGAATCATCGTTCTTCAAATTTTCAACCATTACCATGTTTTACTTTTTAAAGGTGAGAAGGTTGATACTAGTGACCTGGAAATTTTTCTGCAAAATATGGGGATAGAGCTCACAGAAGATAAAGGCATGGAATTACTGAACAATCTTCCAGTTGATGGTGAGCATTAAAAATATCACAGTGGGGTAAACAGTCACAGTGGCCTTCAAGGATACTTGAGTATACGGACTTAGGTGACTAATACTCCCTATTTAAGGAACCTTTCATGCACCCCTTCCCCACCAAAATGATTTCACCAAATTGAGAGCTGTTTCTGTTCCTGAGTTTTATTCTTTTAAGTGAAATAATATAAATGTCTAGAATAAAACATTTAAGTCTTTATGTTTCTAAAATTATGCATGTTTTATTCTATTTTAAAATATCTGCACTGCTGTCTGAGACTTGAATTTTTCCCTTTCTTGGAGCCAAAAGAAAGGTGTATATGAACAGATTGATGAAAGAATTGCAGTCTTTTAAAGGTGAGTGAGAAGTATGAGGTCATGGAGCTTTGTTCCTGTTTTCAAAAACTCTTTCTATTTCACATATTTCAGATGATTAATCCCGCTGTCCCAATTCTTCAGTATTTATTCTTTATAAGCTTTAGGTAGTCTACAGTCACCAAAAATTGTTTAACTACAGTAAGCCCAAAAGCAGTGGTTCCCAAATAAAGTTGTACATCAGAGTCACTGGGAGGGGGGGCGGAATTTAGCATTCAGATTACTGGGCCCCTTTCAGTCAATTTCCGGAGATAGCACCTAGAAACCTATGTTATTAAATGTATAGGATTATGATAGTGTAAATCCATGGATTGGATGGATAGTTCTCCATTAATTAGCAAGTTTCAAATCCTACTATGCAGACATACTTATAAAGGTTGATTTTAGTCTTTGCCATGACTTACCACATACCTCTAACCCCTCACTTTCGTCTCTTAAAAGTTTTCCAAGTCCCAGAGATCAGGGTTAGGAATTCCTGACTTAGACACCAAACCATATTTACTTGAACAGTTTGTTCTTTGCTCTTTATTCTCTATACAGTATTGATGCCTAGGCATGAGCTACAATGACCCACTCTTTACATCACTACAAATATTTCTCATATCTACCCCTTTCTTTCCTAAGGGACAAAGGTATCTTTAGATAAGGTGGACACTTTCATTAAAAACATGGGAATTGACCTCAAGGAGAAAGAAATCCAGGAATGGAAGGACCACCTACCAGTTGATGGTGAGAGTTTTGAATATCAATATACCCCTTAGCAAAACTTTGCACATGAGGCCAGTATCAGGGCTGGAAAGACTAAAGATAGGATGTATATGAAAAGAAGAAAAAAGAAAGAGTGAGGCCTTCAGCATAGCTGAAACCAAATAGCTATCACTTGAGAAGGATCACCAAGAATGCTGCCCAATATAGATGGCAAGTATCACTCTCCATAGGAAATGCCAAGGTCTAACGAGAATACTCAAGACTGTAATCTTTGGGTTTTGGGGTTTTTTTTTAAATAATATGGAGGATTTATTAGACTAGAGATTTTGCAGATTTCAGAGCATTAAGAACTCACAAAATCATATGATCCAGTGTCCCTACTGCTAATCCAGCATTAGATAGCAATGACCAACACTTATATAGCCCTGACATGTGCAAGGCACTGTTCTAAGCACTTTACATATATAATCTTATTTAATCTTCCAAACAGCTTTATAAGGTAAGTTCCATTTTAACCCTAAATTTACATATCAGGAAACTAAGGCACAGAGAAAACAAGTAGCTTACCTAAAGTCAGAAAGCTAGTAAGTGGTGGACAGGCAATCTGGCTCCAGAAACTATCTCTTAACCACTGTGCTATACTGCCATGGACTACAGAATTAGTGAACTTAAGAAGATGTATAGTGAAGTTACCAACTGGATTAATTAAATTTGGCATATGTAAGACTGTTCTCATGCTAGTAGAACTGAGAAAATTTTATCAGGAAATTTTGAGGGACACTTGCCCCCTTGAGGAAGTAGTAAAGATGGAAAATTTACACAAGTCAATGAATCTGGGTTTTTCCAAATTAGTAGTACCTTCATTGTTTTTTCTTTCTTTTGTTTACTTAATGAAAGTTTCTTTAAATTCTGTAGTGCTTTACAATTTTCAGAAGTTTCACACACATGATTTCATATAACCCCACAAAAACCCTTTTCCCCCCACCCCTACAGTGCCCCTCCCCCATCCCTCTCCCCAGTACCTTTCATTCTTTCATTCTTAAAGATGTTAAATAAAAAGAAAGAAAAACTTTAATTGAATGCCTATGATGTGTCAGGCACTGTTCTAGGCCCTTGGGGCCTTTGCCTTAGTGAGAGGTAAGCAGTTTTTCCAAAAATGACATTATTTCTGGTTTTTTAAACCCTTTCATAACTTCTTTTTTTTTTTTTTTTTTTTTTTGCTCTCTGCTGTGGCCTCTCCCGTTGCGGAGCACAGGCTCCGGACGCGCAGGCCCAGCGGCCATGGCTCACAGGCCCAGCCGCTCCGCGGCATGTGGGATCTTCCCGGACCGGGGCACGAACCCATGTCCCCTGCATAGGCAGGCGGACTCCCAACCACTGCGCCACCGGGGAAGCCCCTCAGTGTGGTTTTGATTTGCATTTCCCTGATAATTAGAGATGTTGAACATCTTTTCATGTGCCTGCTGGCTGTGTGTATGTCTTCTTTGGAAAAATGTCTATTCAGGTCCTCTGCCCATTTTTTAATCAGATTTTTTTTTTATATCAAGTTGTATGAGTTCTTTATATATTTTGGGGGGGGTTTTGTTTTTTTAATGTAACTGCTTTTTTTCAACAAATAGCTCATACTTTTTATTTATTGATTATTTTTATTTATTTATTTTTGGCCGCACCGGGTGGTTTGCAGGACCTTAGTTCCCCGCCCAGGGATCGAACCCATGCCCCCTGCATTGGGAGCGTGGAGTCTTAACCACTGGACCACCAGAGAAGTCCCTCTTTATATATTTTGGATATCAACCCCTTACTGATATATCATTTGCAAATATCTTCTCCCATTCAGTAGGTTGCCTTTTCATTTTGTTGATGGTTTCTTTTGCTGTACAAACCATTTCAGTTTTATGTAGTTCCATTTTAATATTTTTGCTTTTGTTTCCCTTGCCTAAGGACACAGATCCAAAAAAAAAATTTCTAAGACCAATGTCGAAGAGCTTACTGCCTGTGTTTCATGGTTTCAGGCCTTATACTTAAGTCTTTAATCCATTTTGCGTTTATTTTGGTATATGGTTTAAGAAAGTGGTCCAGTTTTCCCAAACCACTTATTGGCTGAAGAGACTCTCTTTTCCCTTCGTGTATTTAATTTTTCAAATCTTTTATCTTCACCTGAGTCTAAATTCTGAATTTTCTTACAGAAGATGAAAAGGTTGACTTGGATGTGTTGATGGATGCAGCACTTTTACAGGTGAGTGAGAATTTGTATAAGATGTTATAAAATTGAGATTTTGATGCTTTATAGAGGATTACTTTCTTAAAGCAGTAGTTTACTCCCTCCAGTCATCATTAGTAAATTCACTCTGCTCTTTTACCTATTTATCGGTAATTTTGTCTTATTGACAACAGTTTAGATTATTAGAGATTTAGGGAAAGTTTGGGCACTCTCCAAAAGGAGTATTAACTTGTCTAATATTTTGACCAGTAATGTGCTCTCATTTCTCTAGTGTTTAAAGAATCAAAATATAGGTGACCACAATCAATCTCAACATGAAGTTTTTGCATCAGGAAATATGATCTCTATGAACAGTCAGTTCCATAATTCAGGTTACGAAGTAGTTACAGAGATATTACTTGCCTGTAGAATTACGTAGATTCTACTTACCATCATAAGTCATTGGGTAGTTATACTGCCCCCCTGTTACTCCATGCCATATTGACCCATACGCAGGATAAAAATGTTACCTTCTTATTTGAACTAAAAACCTTCTCAAGTACTGAATTTCACAATAACTCTATGTAAGTGAAGTCAGCTCATATATTTAAACTTCATCCTGCAGTTGAAAAATAATGTTGTACTGGATTTAGTTTTTCATAATTTAGAATAATTAGATCTCTTAATATTATCACCTGAAACAATTCCCATCTATTCAAAGGAGAAAAGGTTGAAGCCAGTGACTTTAAAAATATGCTGGGAAACATGGGAATCGAGCTCACTGAAAAAGAACAGTTGATGCTGTCAAAAACTCTGCCAATCTCTAGTGAGTAGTTAACATACCATCATGGTGCTCAGGGAAATGTGGTACTGTGGGCTTCTGGGTGAGAATTGTCCAGTGCCCCAAGAAACCCCCTAAGAAAAATGCAGTTCAGACATAAGAAACTTTGTTATTGTTACTTGTGTTTTCATTTAGAAGTGAGAAACTTCTCTCTTTTCTATTCAGCCAATGGATAAACTTTTTTTTTTAATTTTAGCAGCTACACGGCTAAATTCTTCTGTAGCCCCCTAAATGCACCCTACATCCTCAGTCCCTCCCCCAGTAGCCCTCCCATCTCCCCACAATCCAGCAACTAAATTGTAAACACCTAAGAGCAGAGGACCTCTAGGACCATGTGCTTATATTGTCAATGTCCATTCTGATTGGTCAGTGGCCCCACCAGTCAGTTCCTCAAAAGTTTTACATCCTGGGCACCTACGTAGGCTCACCCACAAAGACCCTAGAGGCCAACCTGTGCTTCACCTGTACCTCCTGCCCAATCTCAGAGACCCCGACACATAGATATTCTGTCTCCTGCCCCAAGAGTTCCTGTCCCTAATTGTTCCCCAGGCAAGAGAGAGCCTACACATCACTAAGGGGGCTAGCGCCCCTGGTGGCAGAATTAGCACCCTGGGCAGCAAATGCTCAATGCCTATTTGAATCCTCCCCACATACACCTGAGGCTGTGGCCACTCACTATGTCTAGCATTGTCCCCAGATTGCTCTCAAGGGGCCAGTTGTGAGAAATGCAGCATTCTTAGGATATTGGCTTTGAGAGAGCAGGACAGAGACACAGAAAGAAGCAGATGGACTGTAATGGAGACGACTGCAGGCACATGCCAGGTTCTGAAGGTTATGTCAACTCTGCAGACACTCCTACCACAGAGTGGAGGACTCTGGGGACAGATAGCACCTGTGGGGTTGGGTTAGGCTGGTAGGTGTCCCTTGTTCTCTGTCTCTGTTGAATTTCACCTCCATTTATGAAAAGATTTTGTTTAGAAAACAATTTTTTTTTCTCATTTCAATATTATTTTGTGTTACTGTTTGGGTTGATATCTATCTTTCATATCACCACTTTATAGGATCTACCATTAGATATAAACATATACTTATGGGAATACCTCATGGGCTTAGAGCATAGGCAAGGAAAAAAGAAAAAGGCAAAGGAGTCAAAGTGCAGCTAAAGAAGAGAAGAATGAGAAGAAAGATGTGTGTGAGTGTGAGTGTGTAGCCTGCATCAGCTACTGCCAGGTGTTCCAAAGAGAGGCTAGATTGACCACATTGAGAACAGTCCTTACCTTTTGTTATAATCTGAAGGTGAAATACAATAAATTTCTAGGTGAATTGTGTAAAATGTCTTATAAAAGGATAGAGTTTCTTATCCTTTTTCTTTTGACTTGAATTTTACCGTATCTTCCAGGAGATGGAAAGGTATATAAGAAAAGATTGCTGGATAGCGTGAAGCCTCTCAAAGGTAAGAATCATGAGAACAGCACCTAAAATTTATTGTAGGTGCTTTGCATTTGCTTTTTAAAATTTCTGATTAGAATCTTGCTACTTCAATATTCCACTGGTTTACTGATACTGAATTTATGCCTTGTAACCTACTGTTCTTCTTTGGGTATAACTGCATTTGAAGAAGTCATTGTTAGTAATATGTAGCAAGTTTAAAATTTTGATTTCATTTAGGTTGGGTATCTTTATCACAATTCATCATACTTGTCTAATCCTTTTTCATCCATGATTACTTCAGTTAAAAGCTATAGCACAGTGTTGAGAGAGCATTTTCTCTTCTTGACTGCAACACTAACTCTGGGGTCACTTAAATGGCCACTGTTTCCCTCTCCGTTTAGGGTGAATGCATACTCAAAGATCGCATCTTCCACTTCTTGGACCTGCTTGTATTTCTTAGGTATATCTTCTTCTTTCCTAAGGGAAAAAAGTCAGTGTCAATAACCTAGACACGCTAATGGAGAACATGGAAATTCAGCTTGAGAAAGAGGACTATGAAGGCTTACTGACCCATCTGCCAGCTGATGGTAGGTATTTCAGATACCACTGTACCTAGGGGGGATCTTAGGTTTCTATGTGAGGGCTTCTGAAAGTAAACTTTTTTAATCTCTTTGAAAAATATATAAAATAGAGGACAATATAACAAACACTAGCTAGAGTTACAAAGTATTATCATTTTGCCATATTTGCTTCATACATCTTCCTTCCCTTCTTCTCTCCCTCCCATGTATACCTTTTTTTTAATAAGATAAGGTTTCGTTAATGACCCAATAAGACCAATTAAGCTTGATAAAAATGTCAAAGAGGCAAAGTTAGGATAATTCATTAGGAAGAAATTGCTAAGGGATGAGCCCCAGTCTAAGATTTCCTTATTGGATTCAAATGCAGATCCAGTGGCTTTGAATAAAAACCTGATGAAAAAAAAGCTTCCATCAGAAAGCCAGACAGCACATCTTTCAGCAGAGCCAGTATATGCCAATCAAAGTGAAACATCTTTTGCGCTACTCTTACCTGTATCTGGCCTTAATGTAGAAAACAGTTTTGGACTAGCTTGTAGTTTAAAACTTCACTCTCCCTGGGTTTAATAATGCTGGGAATCATGGTCCCCACGTATTAGCTAGGGGTCCTCAAAATGCTTCCTACAGGAAAAGATATTGTTACCAATAAAGTATTTTTAGAATCCTTGATTCAAAAACAAAGACAGAATAATTTTTTCTAATCCAACAGTGTGCCTATTTCTGTACCACTGAAATTTATTCATTTAGCTAGCACAAACTATATGCAAAACACTGAACTATAGAGTGGAAAAGTTATACCTGGTAGTATAAAGAAAAATAAGGCATGATCCCTGCTCTCAAATAGTTTACAGTCCTGGGGGGTGGCAGTGGGGAACATAAGCAAAATTTAGAGAGTGGGAAGATAGCATACTGTTAAGGTTTAAGGGTCAGATGCTTATGTAAATAAATGACTTCCAAATTCTATCTTGTCTATTGAAATATGTTCCCATTATTGGGTGTGAAGAAAGGGAGAGGCCTATTAGAAGGCACTGCTTTTAAACTTGCTTCATCTTTACATTAAGGGTCATTTGATACTATACAAAAAGTGATATTAATTAAGTGGATGCTCACTTTAAATAACATTTTGATCTTCTTTCCTGTTTCTTGCTTATTTTGAGTTAAAAGAGGTACTAAAGAAAATCATGAAAAATAGCTGAATTCCAACACTTTATATTACAACTTAAATGTTTCATATCATTTTTCTCTTTACAACTTAAATGTTTCATATCATTTTTCTCTAAGTCTAATATTTTTTTCTGTGCCTGAATTGTCTTTTCTTACAGAGAATAAAATGGTTGATTTGGATGTGGCAATGGATGATGCAAAAGCTTTCACAGGTGAGTAAGAAGCTGTGGTGAAAGGGAATTCATTATTAACTAAGGCCTTAATGCTTTTTTTAAAAGATGTGTTTAAATGGTAGTTTTCTGTTTGGGCTATTACTAACATGCTAAGTTGACTCCCTCCAAATATAATGGTTAAATGTTTGTTTTATAATCTTACTGTTTGATTTGGGATTTTTCCTGAATGGACCTATATTCTGTGGAGTTTTTACCAATGATATTTTCCACTTCACCATTGTTTAAACAACCAAAATATAGGTCAACACTGTCCAATCGCAAGGTGAAGTTTTTGTGGGGTAGCTAGGAAATACTATTACTGTGTCAGAAGACCCAATAGTTCAGGAAAGTTAATGGCATTTGACTTGTATCTGGAATTATATAAGCTCTTCTTTTGCTTGAATTAAAAGTATGAATTCTATTTCTGACTCAATCTACCCACCCACATGTCCTTTTAGTCTACATAGTTTAACAAGTTTCATTGTCAGTTTGCTCTTCTAATTAAAGATGATGCCACATAGGTAATCTTTTTCATAATTTGAAATAATTATTCCATTCCTAAAATTATTACATGTTAACAATTCCCATTTTTCCAAAGGAGAGAAAGTTAATGTCAGTAATCTGGACAATGTGCTGAGGACAGTGGGGCTAGTGCTCACTGCTGAGGGACATGAGGAGCTGCTGAAAACTCTGCCAACTCACGGTGAGGATTTAGCACATTCTTTGAAGCTTGGAGTCATGGGCTTGTGTGTGATGAAATTATATATGTGTATACCCAATAAATCCTATTTGGAAAGCACAGTTCTCACACAAGAAAAAAACTCTGTTCTTGTTGCTTACATTTTTGTACTGAAAACTGACAACATCTTTCACTGATCTCCCACCATAAAGGCTAAATTATCATGTGGGAGCATTGCCTAACCTAAATCATGGCCAAGGCAAAAAAGGGAAACCAAGGGAGTAACAGAAGTAAGGAAAAAGGAAGAAACAAGGAAATAAGACTATTTTAAATTCAACCAATAGGTGGATCTATATCAGTGAAAGCTTTCTTCAGCTTTGGTTTCATTCTTACTTGAGGGTAAAATAGAATAACTTCTAACAAATCTGAAGGGGTTTTTTTCCACTGAAATTATGGATGTTATGTTGTCTTTGTGCTGTCTTTGTTAACCTTGCCATCATTTAACCTATATTCTTAATTGTATCTTATATGACAGCTGATGGAAAAATATATAAGAATAGATTGCTGAAAGGTGTGAAAGCCCTCAAAGGTGAGTGAAAAGCATGGTGAAAGAGCAAGTAAAAGATAAAATCCTTAGCATTTTCTTTTAAATATTCCAAGTTTGCTTCCTGCCAATTTATTGATCCATTGTTATGACTCCTAACCTATCATCCTTCTTTGGGTACACTGGCCTTTAGAATATAAGTTAGGGACTTCCCTGGTGGCGCAGTGATTAAGAATCACCTGCTGATGCAGGGGACACAAGTTCAATCCCTGGTCCGGGAAGATCCCACGTGCCACGGAGCAACTAAGCCGTGCGCCACAACTACTGAGCCTGTGCTCTAGAGCCCACGAGGCACAACTACTGAAGCCCACGTGCCACAGTGCTGAAGCCCATGGGCCTAGAGCCCATGCTCCGCAACAAGAGAAGCCACTGCGTGAGAAGCCCGCACACTGCAACAAAGAGTAGCCCGCATGCAGCAACGAAGACCCAACGCAGCCAAAAATTAATTAATTAATTTTTAAAAAATCAATTAGAATATAAGTTAAAGTATATGACCATAGGAAGTTTCTAACACTGTTTTCTGGCTAGAACTGTATAAATTGGTGGTTATTTTAATCATGAATCATTAGAGTTACCTATTCCTCTCTAATGACCTCTCATGGAAAACTGAAACAGAATCTCCTGGATAGACATTAAGGAAGACATCCTATTTTTACTTTCTATACTAATTCTATGTAGACAATTATATTTTTAGTTTTTAATTAGAAAAAAATATTTTAAAACAGAAAATACTATAAGAAACTTATCTGATTCTACCACTTACAAAAACTGATATAAAGAAGTAAAAGTCAAGTCATGAGGATGTGATGTACAGCATGGTGAATAATACCTTATTTTATATTTAAAAGCCGCTAAGAAGGTAGATCTTAAAAGTTCTCACCACAAGAAAAAAAAAGTGTAACTATGTGTGGTGATGGAGGTTAACTAGTTTTATTGTGGTGATCATTTTGCAATATATACAAATAATGAATAATTACATTGTACACCTGAAATTAATGTTATATGTCAATTATATCTCAATTTTTTTAAAAAGTGAAAGTCCCCTACTTCCCACTGATCTAATCCCCCCCATAAAGATAAATACTGTTTACTGTTTACCTTTGTCTCAATGGTTATATTTCTCAATTTTTTCCTACTTTCAATAGACAGATTAAATCTAGGGACATATATATATGTTATAGTTTCTTTGTGCCCTTGTGCTTTTACCCTCCAGCTGTGGTTTCTGTTGCATGATCATGATTAGCACCTTTCACTCTTAAGCATCAGTACCCTTGTTCTTCTTTTTTTTTTTTTCCAGTACTCTTGTTCTTATTCCATGCCCTTCTTTCCTAAGGACCAAGGGTCAAAATCAAAAAACTGGACTCTTTTGTGGAAAACATGGGAATTAGACTCAAGGATGAGGAATTTGAGGAACTAATGACCCAACTGTCAGCTGATGGTGAGTGTCACAGACATCATTATGCTCTTCAGAGAAACATTAAGCCCTTCTATTGGAACTGCTGAAAGCAGCCTTTTTAGTAGCATAATGAAGTAAATGTAAATAGGAAGACTTAATCCTGACTCATGAAGAAATTTTATCTCCAAAAACACTTTTAAAAAGATATGTTGGAAAAAAAAAAAAGATATGTTGGTGGACTTCCCTGGTGGTCCAGCAGTTAAGACTCTGCGCTCCCAATGCAGCGGGCCTGGGTTTGATCCCTGGTGAGGGAACTAGATCCCACATGCCACAGCTAAGAGTTCACATGCCACAACTAAGAGTTTGCATGCCACAACTAAGATCCTGCACGCCACAATGAAGATCCCGTACATGGCAACGAAGATCCCCCATGCCACAACTAAGACCTGATGCAGCCAATTTTTGTTTTCATGAATATATGAAGATTTATTTTGTGATAAAATTAGCAATTTATACAAGTGGGAAAAGAATGAACTAGTCAAAAATAGTGTTGAAATGAGTGACTATTTGCAAAACCTTAAGTCAGATTTATAAGTCATACCCTACACTAAAATAAGGTTAACTCTTGTTTTTACATTGGAAATTTTTTTTCTTTTTTTTTTTTATACAGCAGGTTCTTATTAGTCATCAATTTTATACACATCAGTGTATACATGTCAATCCCAATCGCCCAATTCATCACACCACCACCACCACCACCCACAGCTTTCCCCCTTAATGCAGCCAAATTAATTAATTAATTATTTTTAAAGTAATTTTAAAAAAAGAAATGTTGGGAATGTTGCTTTCAGGACTCAGCCATGCCTGGGAATACCATACACTTAAGGAGCTAAAAGAAAAATGAATTTTTAAAAAAAATTTCATTCATAAGGGAACATGTTAATAAGGGAACATTTAAGAAGGTCAAAAGCCAGATGATGCACTAGGAGAGAATGGTTGCAAGATCCCTAAGGTAGAAAAAGCCCTCATACATTGATTAAAACATACCGACAGTAGAAAAATAGGCAAATATACAAATAGATCATTCATAAAAGATGAAATGTAAATGCCCAATAACATACGAAAAGATATTTAACCTCACCAATAATCATGAAAATACAAAATAAAACAAGATACAGAAATATTTTCAGTTCTCAGACAGGCAAAAATTAACAGGACTGACAACGCTTAGTTCTGGTGAGAGTAAGGGGAAAGGAACTTACTGATACATTTTGGGTGAGAGTTGCCATTGCTCTTGGAAAAATCATTTGGCAGTATTTTGGGGGAAAAAAAAATCTTCCCTTTTCCCTGGTGAATCTAGCCTACATGCTTCATCTGTAGTATTTAGTATTTCTTTATGCTGAGGCCTGGTCCCTATTCCATCACTAACTTGCCAACAATTTAACCCTACTGAATCTAAGTGTCTTCACATGAAAAATAGGGAGTTGAATTAAATGATTCTCTGTGGTCACTTCTTGCCCTGAAGTTAATATAGATAATACACATTAAAGGTCTTAATGCAGTGTTTAGAATACTCAGTAAATGTTAGTCATGATGACAGTGGTAGTGGTGAAGATGATGGGGAAGATGGAGAAAATGTTGAAGAACAAAGGAAAAAGAAAAGGAAATTCTATGATCTAGGAATCAATTTTGCCTGTTATAAAAATATATCCTAGTAGAATAAATACTTATTACTAATTATGACCTTTATATAAACAAATGAGGTAAAATACAACTTAGAATATTTTACAAGAAATAGCACCGGGCTCACTGGGTTCCTCCTCCACTTCTCCTGTCCTTATTCTTGGCAAGTTCAATACCTTCCATACAGATCAGAGGCTTTTGACTTTACTGTGCCACAGACCCCTTAGACAGTCTGATGAATTGGCCCACGTCCGAATATAATATTGAATATTTTTAAATGCATAAAATAAAATACATAAGATTACTGAGAAGCTAATTATATTAAAATATAATTTATCAAAACATTAAAGATATAAATTAGTACTTATTAATACATTTAACAAGTTCTAGTATCAGGTCTAATAATTATTGTCATTTTAGAGTAGTGATGAGCATAAGCAACCTTTCAATATATTGAAATGAAATGAAAATGTTAGTGATTTATATTAGTAACAACATCACAGATTCTCCTAGTACTACTATGGTTTGTGGACTACGTGAGTAATTGAAGAAAATGCTAAATTTAAGTTAGTGATTAGTGAAAATAAAGATGTATTTTTTTCCATTTGAGCTCAAGGACTCCCTGTATTTATAAATCTATAGATACAGGGTCCATGGACCCTAGATTAAGAACTCCTGATATAGGTCACCCATCCAACATCCTGACCTCCTGCTCCTTGACCTCTTTAACTCCAGTCATCTTTTCCTCCCCTCCCTTAACTACCACTCACATGGTGATGACCTAAACCTTGTCCTCGCCTAATACTTGATCGCCCCCAAAATCTTTATTTCATATAACCACTGTCTGCCCTTTATCCTTCCAGTTCATTTACTATGCAGACTTTTCTTCCATAACACAATGTAGGAATGCCTGGAAATCACCCATTCTGTAAAATTGCCCACCAAAGTAACTGAGCTTATGGGGAAAACTGGGGAAGCCCACTCAAAATCTATGCCACTTTGTAACCAGAGCACTAACAAAAGCAGAAATTGATACTGTGTGAGGAAGTTGGAAAAGCCCAAATAACCAGCTCAGAATGGCTGGAAGCCATTTAAAAATGCACACATACACACAACCCAAAAAGGAGTTGAAAAGCTGACATGCAGCTGAAATAATGTAGATGGAAGTAGAATTCTGAGCGAGTGAACCTGATTCCCCCTCATGCATTGTACGCACTTATTGTTTAATTTTATTAAAATAGAGCTGAGAGGGCCCCTGCTATAGCCAACCCAGGATTTTTTCTTTTCCTGCTGAGGTTTATAATTCTAATTCTCTTACTTAGGAAAAATTATGTATGAACCAATACAACTTCCACATTATTGTGACATTATTTCACTCGCCGATTGAATATGATGAATCGGTGCTATTAAATATAGGCTGTAGCAGAACAGAATATAGAACTCCAACTCTCCAGCCACAAGGACACCTTCAATGTCTTTAACTCAACCATTGTTTCCTTATTCAACAACTCCTCCCCGTATGTCCTCACTTCCTTCCTTAAATTAGATTCAATACTTCAGCATCATATAACCTTACAAACTCTCAAAACTCCTACCAGACTTGCTTGGCAAAAACCCAGCCATCACCTTACTCTAGGCTTGCCCCTGAACAGCTTTAACATTGGTGAAGAAAATCACAAAACTACACTAATAGAAATCACTTCCACATAGTGGCCACGAATATCAAGTCAGCCCTTAATGCGGCCAAAGTGCCTACTACCTTTTCCAAATAAATTCACTTTCTCACTCTCAGAGACAATTTCACACCTTCTCTCTTCAAATTTCCAACACTTCCTCATCTCAGATTTCATAGAGGAAAAAGATGCAATTAGATAAGACTAACCTCATTTTCCTCCTTAATTTCTATGAACCTACCAATACTTACGCCCATATACCCTGCCTCTCGTCTTGTCATAAAGGAATCTCTGCTCCCATTGTGGGCCAGCCCTTCCACTTGTGCCCTGAATCTCATTTCCACTTGCCTTTTCAAAGATTTAACTCTTTCTCTTTCCTCTTTAATTTTCCTCTTTCTCTCCTGCATCTTCGATTTCTCCCTTTCTTCTGTATCTCTGTATATATTCCATTGACAAGCAGCTATATTCCCCTTGTCCCCTGCCAGCTACTACTCGATCAGTTCCTCTTCACAAAAAAACCTCTCAAAAAGTTGTCATTACTCATTGTCTCTACTTCCTAACCTCCTATTCACTCTTCAGTGCTTGCTTCCCTGCCATGGAACTGAACCAGCTCTCCATCATCAGTGGTCTATCTCTTGCCAAACTCCATGATCAATTCTCTGTTCTTATTTTACTCGATATCTCAGCAGCATTTGACGTAGTGACTATCCCCTCTTTATTGAAACGTTTTTAATTTTTATTGGAGTATAGTTGCTTTACAATGTTGTGTATTGAAACATATTTTTCTTCAGACTTCTGAAGCTCCATATCCATCTGATTTTCTTCTTTTTTCCCTCACAGCTTCTTCTCAGTTTCCTTTTCTGACTCTTCCTCCCTTCAAGATCTCTGAATAATGAAGCGCCCCAGGGCTAGACCCTTAGCTGTCTTTTTTCTTAAATCTACATCCTCTTTTTATGAGATTGCATCCAGTTTCATTGGGCCAGGTACTGTCTTTGAGTTGGTAAAAGCAAATTTGTATCTCCAGGGCAATCTCCCTAAGTCAAGAATGGTATATTGAACTAGTTATTTGGTATCTCCACTTGGATGTCCAAAAGGCATCACAAATTTAATGGAATTATTGATTTAATTCCCTAAAATGTCTCAAGCCCTCCCCATCTCAGTAATGGCATCCCCTCTACCCTGTTGGGGGTTTTGAGGGGGAGGGTGGGGAGAAGAGACTAGGTTTCATTTCTTCTTTCCCTCATACCCCACATTCAAATCTAGGCTCTACTTGAAAAATAGGTCCCGAATCCATCCATTATCACCATCTCCACTGCTGTAGCCATAGCCCTAGCCACTATCATTTCTTTCCTGGGCCACTGAAACAGTCTACTATCTAGTCCTCATTCCTCCAATTTCCCCATCCTGCATACACCAGCCAGAGTGATCTTTTGAAAGCTGAAATCAAGTCAAGTTACTCCCTTCTTCAAGACCTCCAGTGACATTCCATTGCAACCAGAATAATATCCAAACTTTATCACCGTGGCCTACAAGGCCCTGCATAATTTGGCCCCTTTCACACTGGCCTTTTCTCCATCTCTCAGTCACGTCAAATTCATTCCCATTTTAGGCCTATCACACATATTATTTTTCTACTTGGAATGTTCTTCTCTCCATTCTTTACATGGCTCTTGTCATCATTCAGACCTCAACCCAAATAGAGCCACTTCAGAGAGGCCTTCCCTCAGCTCCCTGTCTAAAGAAATCCCACCCACTATTACTCTTTATTATATTGCCCTATTTCATCTTTGATAGCATCTTAACAATACCTCAAAACAACAGTACCTTTTTGCTCATTTGTTTACATGCTCGTTGTCTGTTTCCCTCTACCAGATTGTACACTCTTTAATAGCAAGAACACTGCCAGCATGTTTACTTTTGTATCCCCAAAGCCTAGCAAAGTGCCGGGCACATAGAAGGTACTCCTAAGTATTTGTTGATTAATTACTAAATAAAAATACTCAGGGTCAGGTTTATTTTTCCTGTCTCCCTACACTTACCTGTAACCAATCACTTCTTAATTTAATCTTATTCTAGTAGTCTATAAAAGGAAAGAAAAAAGGAAGATACAGGAATGATTCATTACAGATCGAAAGCTTTGTTTCTAAGATAATACTGTTATCTCTAAGGATAAGATCATAAAATTCTAAGAAAAATTAGAAAAAAATTAGTGAATTCTTATGGTTTTCAGAACTTTGTACGTCCTAAATTTTGTGAGTCTCAATAATATTTGCTTATCTGATTCTGAGGTTTATTTCCCTTTGCTTACAGGTGATAATACAGTTGGTCTGAATGATTTGATGGATGCTCTCAGTTATATCAAGGGTGAGTTGCGAGCTATGATGAAAAGATGTCATAAATAGCGTCTTAATATTTTGCAGTTGGTGGAGAAAAATATATCCCCTTATAAATGTTTAAATTCTTTCATATATGTTCCAGTTTTGTGGATGCTACTGAAATTGGGTAAACAGTAATTAATCTGTACTTATATATCAATACCCATAATATTCTCTGACGTTTTCCCCAAAAGGATTCTTCAACATAGTTACAGATCTCAAGAGCCACAGAACTATTCATTTTCCCCATTAACCCCAATCCTGGAAATTTATCCTGTGGAAATAACTTAATTGAATAAAAGAAAAAAATCTCTTCCTAAAGACCTTCAGGGAAATTTGAAACAGCCTAAATATCTAACAGTATGGGAATACCAAATAAGTCATGGTAAGTCAGGCTTATGGGATATCATCTGTTGAAATGTTAACTGTAAAAATTATGTAGCAACTTGGAAGCAAGTTTATGAAGTAATTATATTAGGCTGGAAAAGCAGAATACAAAATTTTGTGTATATTAGATTTCTACATTTTGAAAGTACACCTTTCATAATGGAAAGCTGGTATATGAAGACCTAAAAATGGTTTTTGTGGTAGGGTGGTGGAATTATATTTTTCCCACTTTATAATAATCTTAAATGTTGTTATATTATTTTTACAATGAATGAGGAAAAATTACTTCTGACTGTGTTGAGATGAATGAAATTCTTGGAATGCATAGTGCTCAGAGAAGCAAACTAAGCAAACATTTTTTTTAAATAAATAAAAATAAAATTTCAAAAACTGGTCTATAGAAAAAACTGAATTTTCCAGTGGGGTAGGAGGAAGAGAAAAAAAAAAAGCCAAATACCTATATGTAGCTTAATTTGCTATGGGTTGCAATAACCCACCAGTGAATTATTTTTTTTGTAGCCACTTTCTGATTTTCTGAACCAGAATTTGAAACAGAGGATTTTTTTCTGATCCTCCTGTTAATTCTGCGTATACATGGGTAATGTTATGTATAAGCACAAATAGTGTTTTTCATCCTCTGTAGACAGTTATATAATATTTCTGCAATTTATTTCTCACCTTTTCTAAGGAGAGGTGATTGATATCCAGGACTTAGACAACTTTCTAGCAAATGAGGGGGTTGAGCTCACAGAAGAAGAAATGAAGAAACTAATACCTCATTTGACATCCAATGGTGAGTTTTTTGTTAAATTCTGTTGTCTTCCTAGAAGTTACCTTTGTTATCTTGTATATAAGCTTCTCAGAAATGATCCTTATCTTTCTTGTGTCACCAAGAACAATGCTTCTCAAACTTGAATGTGAATGAATCACCTGGGCATCTTGTTAAAATTCAGATTATGATTCAGGTCTGGAGTAGAGCCTAAGAAATTCTGCATTTCTAACAAGCTTCCAGATGGCGGCAATGCTGCTGGTCCAAGGTCCACACTTCGCCTATCTAAGACCTAAAAGATAAAGAAATGATATATTAAGATTGTGCCTGGCCTTTCATTTCTTAAGTCACAAGTACAACCAATATATTATGTGCCTGAGGGCATGATTCCATCCCCAAAATAAGAAGGAAAAATATTAGAGTAATTAAAATTAGCAAATAAAAATGAGTATTAGGGAGAGACACACAGGGAAAGCAGAAGGAATTAGGGATTGATTGATTGATTTGTTTGCTTATTGAGATTTTTATTATTGCTTATTGAGTCTAGTTACATGACTTATCTGCTGGCTCTTGTGTTATATAACTACTTTAGATTAGACTCGGCTTTTTATTTCTATTACCCTCTTTGTTGTTCTGATACAAAAAAAGATGATCTAGGAGCATTTGGGGATTATCAATTCTTACTATAATGATGTTTCTAGAAAGCTTCTGTACAGCTCTGGCCTTGAAAGAAAAGATTGTATATTGATTTATTCAAACAACAAATATTTATTGATCACTGAATATGTCCAGGAACTATACTAAGGGATGAAGAAGGGAATACATACTTGACTTTCTCTGCTAAACCCAACAGAAAGTAGGAAATAAAACACAACCATTATGTTCTCAAATCATGGTTTTAATAAATTTGAACCTATTCATTGCAAACATCTCCATTTTCTGTTTTCTCCAGTTAATCATTTCTTCTTATTCAGGAATATATACTATGTCCCTCTCCTCTCTTCAGTTGAAAAGGTTCTTTTCACCCTTCCAAATCCATTCCTCTTGACCTGATCATCTCCCACTTTTTTTTTTTTTTTTTTTTTTTTTGCGGTACGGGGGCCTCTCACTGTTGTGGCCTCTCCCGTTGCGGAGCACAGGCTCCGGACACGCAGGCTCAGCGGCCATGGCCCACGGGCCCAGCCGCTCCGTGGCATGTGGTATCTTCCCGGATTGGGGCACGAACCCATGTCCCCTGCATCGGCAGGTGGACTCTCAACCACTGCGCCACCAGGGAAGCCCCTATTACTATTTTTAAATGAATTATTTTTTTTTATTCCTCAGTTTTATTATCTAATAGGGTAATTATCCATAGTTGCAACTCTTGGAGGTCCTTAAAATTTTTTAAGACTATAAAGAGGTCCTGAGACCAAAATATTTGAGAACCTTTGCTCTCTGGATTATTTGTTGTCACTACTGTGTTTCTAGCTGCCTGCTAGATAATTCTCCCTTTATATCTCACCAACACCTTAAACTTCTTTTGCAGGGGAAGGGTGAACTTTTTCTTAAATATCAGATGCACACAGTTGAGTTAATCAGACTCATCAGTATGGCACACTATCACCATTGGTCCATGCAAAGACCCTTTGTGTTTTATTTTATTACAGTAAGTCCCCTACATACAAACAATTTCCATTCCAAGAGCACATTTGTAAGTCCAATTTGTTCATAAGTCCAACAAAGTTAGCCTAGGTACCCAACTAACACAATTGGCTATATAGTACTGTTTATAGGTTTATAATACTTTTCACACAAATAATACATAAAAAACAAACAAACACAAAAACTAAAGAAAACATTTTTATTCTTACAGTACAGTACCTTGAAAAGTACAGTACAGTACCAGTCACATCACCGCTGCTTTTACACTTGCTTCCAGACATCCTAGGCTTGTAATAAAGATACTGTACTACTGTACTCTATACCCTACTGTACAGTAAAGTACACAAAAGCACAACCACTTGTAGAGGATGCACACATGTGACAATGTACACCAGACACGTAAACTAACTTATGTGATTGGACATGTGAACGCACATTTGCAACTTGAAGGTTCATATTTAGAGGACTTACTGTATTTTTCCTCTTTACCTCCTATTTCCACTCCTATTTCCTTTCCCCCATCATAAGTCCATTCTCTATTATATCTAATATTTGTCCTTCCAACCTATCTTCCTTATGTTTATTTAGATATACACATATCCCTTTAAAAATTCAGTGTGTGTGGTATTTAATTTACTTAAAGGGTATTGTGCTATAAAACTCCTATTTCTTTTTTTCACTCAACATTATTTTTAATAGCTTTATTGAGATATAGTTCACATACCAGACAACTCATTCACTAAAAGTGTACAATCCAATGGTTTTTAATATTCACAGATATGTGCAGTTATCACCACAGTCATTCTCAAACATCGTCATCACCTGAAAAAGAAGCACTGTACACTTTAGCTTTCACTCCCTATCCTCCCACCCCTAAGCAATCATTAATCTACATTCTATGTCTATAGATTTGCCTTTTCTGGACATTTCATATAAATGGAGTCATAAAATATGTGGTCTTTTATGACTGGCTTCTTTGACTTAGCATGTTTTCAAAATTCATCCATTTTGTAGCATGTATCAGTACTTCATTCCTTTTAATGGCCAAATAATATTCTGTTGTATGGATATATCTCATTTCATTTATCCACTCATCAGTTGATGGATATTAGGATTGTTTCCACCTTTGGGCTGTTATGAATAATGCTGATATAAACATTTGTATGCAACTTTTCATGTGGACATATTTCATTTCTCTTGGGTATATACCTAGGAGTGAAATTGCTGGGTCATAAGGTAACTCTACATTTAACCATTTGAGGAACTGCCAGACTGTTTTCCAAAGTGGCTGCATTTTGCATTCCCACCAGCAATGTATAAAGGTTCTGATTCCTCCACTCCCACATCAACATTTGTTACTATCTGACTTTTTGATTCTAGCCATCCTAGTGGATGTGAATCAACACTATATTTTTTAGACTTACCCATGTTTCTATAAATCAACCTAATTCTGGCTGCTGCATAATATCCCTTCAATACAATGACCATAATTTACCTATTCACTGCCCCAGTAATGAACACCAGATTTGCCAACGCTTCATTTGCTTGTTCTTTACTACTTCTACTAACTATTAGGTCTTTAATTCATCTGTATACCACCTCTGCATATGGTAAGACAGGGATCCCACTTGGGTTTTTTTTCCCACATAGCAAACAAATTTCCCAACACTGAACTGATTTGTCATACTATCATGTATAGACGAAACCCAGCAATTCTCCAATATCTGGGGACTCTTGGGTAGGTTAGGGCAGACATATATTTCTCCTACTCACCAATGGTTCTGACTTTCTACTTTGAATTCTCTGGTTTGCATTCCTCTACTATGCTGTTGTCTTTTTTTTATTCTGTTACTTCCCTGGATGCTGCCTAATTCCATCATTTCTCAACTCAAGCCTGGGTTGGTAGCTTATTTTACTGCAACTGCTTAAAATTAAATAATAGATGTCCTTATTCTCATAGATTCTGCCACTATTCCTACTTTAAGGGGGTTTTCATTTTTGTTTCTGTTCTTCAAGTTCCAGCCTCCCATTTTGTTGCTGAGGAGGAAACATTAGAAATATATTCAGAGTTTTGGAGAGAGGAAGGGAGAAAGAGATGTATGCTGTTAGTCTTGAAACAAGAGTGTGTGACATTTTATAGACCAAAAAAATTACTTCTTTATCAGAGTTCTTGAAGGTGCCACCCAGGGTTCCTTTCTGCCCCTTCTCTTACTGGGTGGCATCATGGAAGAAACATTCAGTCCCACTTGTCTCGCAGCTGCTCTTCTTCTAGCCCACTCTTTAGTCTTTTCTCCTGCAAGTGCTATTCCGTCCTAGGTACAGTATTTAAATCTCTGGGTTTCTCATTCATTCACATTAAGTTCTCAGGTATCAACCACTCTCTTCCTGTTTTTTCTGGTCCTGTTCCGCTCCACTTCCCCATCAGTGTTCTCCAGTACTGAGACTGATCCCCCTTAGTGCTCTTCCTTAGGTCAAACTTACACTATCTCCCAGCAGATTGTTAAGTCGTTAAAAGAAGGGATCCCATGTGCTAGGCTCTATGCAAAGTACCAAGGTGAATGAGTCACAGCCCTTGTCCTCAAAGAGCTTATGGTCCAACAGAAGAGATAGGCACATAAAATAATTTTGATATAATGTGATAAATGTATGCAGAAGGTGCTAAAGGAGCGTTTAGTCAAGACTGGGGTTTCCTGGAGAAGACCCTAAGTTGAACAAGTGTGAGAAGATCATTCCAGTCAGAGAAGCATACTCTATCCTCAGTGGTGACAAACATGCCATCTCAAATGGGTTGATTCTCAAGAAAAACCTGTCAGAACAAAAAAACAGAGCAAGTCCTTCTCTCCCTATTCCAACTCTGAGCATTTGCCACCAAAGTCTCTTCGTATCTTTTCTTAAAATGTCATCGATCTGAGTTTGGAAAAGACGCTGCCAGACTCAAGCCCTGGTTCTTTGTGTAATATCCCTTTCCCGTGTGTCACCTTTGAAGTGTAATACCTTGAAACACAGAAGAGAAACACTGCATTAAAGAAGTTGAGATAGTTCCATCATTGATTTATCCTTTTTTCCATCATACTCACCTGAGAGAAAAATTAATCCAATTCCAAAGCAAACCAGTATATTATATCTAGTTCTTCTAACTCGTGGAAGAAGTTCCAGCCTGCCATGTTATTTTAATAATTTTATAACTTTTATCTGCTTTTATGGGTTTTTATATGACTTCTTCTGTATCTGATTCAAAATGTTTTATAGAACATGGGAACGTTAAAGTGCATTCAATAATGGAGGGCCTGAAGAAGTTTAAATGTGAGTAGAAATTTTTTATATAATATAAAATTGATAATTTGATGCTATGCACTTATTTTTATATTTTATTTTAAAATTCTTTTTAAAAACACATATTTTATATGTGTTTTCTTGGTTATAAAATTAATACATATTCATTACAGAAAATTTCTATATTCACAAAATGAAAGAATGAAAAAAATTTGAATAATCCTTACTTTTATCACCAGTGATAATCTGTAATTTCATCACCCCAGATTTTTTTCCTTATGCATACACAATTTTTGTGCATTTAGCTTTAAAGTCCCACTTGCAAGGTACTTTCCCATTTTCTTATTAATATTAAAATCTTACCTGTTGATAAGTATGTCTAATGACCTAAAATTTCTTTTTTGGATACTTCTGGATACATAATCTCAGTACTTTTTGTTTGCAGGCTTCTTATCACATTTATGTCTAAAATAATTTTCCCAGGGCCAGAATACTATGTTCTGTACTTACATAGAAAAGAATGAATGGAAGGTTTGAAAATTATAACGTGAAATTGATCAGTAGAGGCAACTAAAACTTGTCTTCTGCCCTCTTTCCCCCAACACACACACAACCTCAGTCTGTACTTCATTCTTAAGTAATTTTAATTTGCTCTCTGCACCAGTGTTTTCCAGTGAGTATGATAAAAAAAAAATTGATGTGTCTCTGAAAGCCTGATTGTGTTTCAAAAAGAAGAATTTAAAAATAACTTAAGGTACTTTGTGCAAGTATCTACAAAATGAATCTTGGTAAGAGAAAATAAATTTAAATTCTGGGTACCCACACTTAACCTTTCCAAGTGAGTGCTGTTTTATTATTTGTAAAAGGAAAAAGATCTCATTGAATAGGTCCATTCTATCTCATCTACTGCTGCTTCTGTTGCTGGTGCCAGAAAACTTTCAGAAATGTCTCTTTGGTAGGCTTTAACCCCAGCATTTAAAACCATGCTGCTGAATTTAGGGATACTGGAAGTAATCCTCCGCGGTCATGTGTAAGATCTGAGTTCATTAATAAGCGTTTACTGAGTACCCAACCACTGTAAAAAAAGAAAGTTCAAAGATGAAAAAGAGGCAAGCAAAGTTCCTGCTTTTCAGCAAGGCTTAGTTTTTGAATACATAGCATATGCTCAATAAATGCTTATTGATTGACTGACTATTAGAGGTTCTAGTTTCCTGCTTTCACGTAATTAAACATTCACTAACCCAAGCAGCTGTACTGAGGTCATTCTTGAGATAACCCTCCCAATCCAGGCCACTCAGAAGAAACAGTTATGTGAGTCCTAAGTGAGTCACCCAAATCAGAATCAATTGTTAAAAAACCATTTACAAAGCTGAGAAAGCACAACTTCACAGTCTTGCCTGCTTACCTTTCCATCACTCTTCTTTCTCCTCTCCATTTCTTCTTTTTCCCTATTTTTCTTAACTTTTCCATGTCTCTATTAATAGATTATTTTTCTTTCACTCCTGCTTCCCTGGTTTTCCTAGTGGTGTTGCTTTTTTTTTTGTTTCTTTTCCTTCCAGTCTCTATCAAACATATACATTTCACATGCCCACCCTGCTCGCCGTCTTGCTTTCATCACTGTAAAAGCCCCATTCCACTTGCTGACATCAAAATATATTTTATTCTGTGAAATCTACAGTGCATTAAAGAAAAGTTAGACATTTAAAAGTATGTTTCATAATTTTAGAAATTACAAACAGTAGTGTCTATTCCACAAACTCACCAAATAATACTCAATTTCCACTTATTAAGTTTTCTGTGTAGATATAGGTATTAGGGGAACAGATTTTATTTCTGAATACTATATTGACTTTTTGTGCATTCAAACATGTACTACTGTGATTTAAGTTTTCACACTCAAATTTCAGATGACTAGACAGTCACTTTATAGACAGTAACATTTTTCACACAAAAATCTTTTTCCCCAATTCCTATTTCACCATTTCTGTTTTTCTAAGGAATAAAGGTAGATTTCAGTTACCTAGGCACAAACATGAAAATGACACATTTATATGAACAACTTTAAGACCTGCTAATATTTATGTCATTTGATGGTGAACATTCAAAATTCCACTCTGACCTTCAATTGTGCTTGGGTTGTGGGGTTCTACATGAAAATTTTTAAAATCACACTCATTAGGAATATAGAGAAACTCTACTACATATTTAGAAAAGAAATACTGTATAAAAATAAAGTCTGCTTCTTGTCAGGAACAGATATCTTCCAAGTCACATTCCCAACCAGAGTTGGGCAGGGTGGTGCCCCATACAATATCCAAAAATGGCACAGGATGCCTTTAGCAAACTAATGTCTAGGCAGGGAGAAGAGCCGAGCAATAAAGAAGAGAAGAATGAGAGAGAGAATGGGGTAGGGGAGGAGGGAGGGAGAAGAAATAAAAGCAGTTTGATCAGTTTTTCTTAATTCTACACATTATGTGTTTTATATTAATATTACTACTACTATCTCCCCTCCCATAAAGAAAATATATATACTTTATGTGTACTGCTTTCTGCATAATATATTGCCCTTTACCACCTTCACAGCCTAAAGTTACCACAGAATTTCCAGGTTTCCATAACCTGCCACTGACCTTTCCTGATATTAAAAACAGTACATTATTGGCTTTATCTAACCAAACTAAACCAAACCTAGGTAACTGAGCAATTTTTTTTTCTGAGAGTTAATCTCCTCACGTTTAGAAAACCAAACTACCCCATGTTTTGAGAAAAGAGTTGAATTAGTACTTTTAAGGTATTTGTTTGGCTGTTGTTTTTCTGGCTATGGGGTGGAGTGGACTGAGGGGAGGAGATTCTACAGTTAATATTATGACATATATTGTACCCACACATTTCACAGGAGAATTCACTAGAAAGAAATATCTGTATCATTAAAAGGTATGTAATTAGTCAACAGTTCATAACCAATGCACTAAAGAAAATTAAATGGGTAGCAGAGCATTCTGCTCTTGAGTCAACAGGTTTCCAAAGTTACTTCACTTCCTCACATCCTAAAAGATGATAAATAAATGCTCTTGACTTCAATGCTGACTCTATAATGCTTTCCAAAAAAATTTTTTTTGGAGTTTGAGACAGTAAGGCATGAAAAGAAGCAATTTTAATTAAGATGTATATCAGATATAACTAACATTTTCTTCAGTTTCCCACTCATCTAAGGAAAAATTAATATAAAATTACATCCTCCTATTCTACTTTTCATAACTTAAGAAATTTATATAATTTTGACTCTGAATCTTGTCTTTAACCAAAAGGAATGGTGCCTCTACAGAAGTTGATGAAAATCACAAATGATACTAAAGGTGAGTGAAACCTGATGTGAAGACTTGGTAATGATGGGGCTTAATACTTTGACTTATATTTCTTAATCCCATAGTTATTTTCCCTAATTGTTTTATCAGTTGCTACCTTCTATCTACTTGTTGACATGTGTTTGAACACCATTATCTCTCCGATTGTTTTTCTGAGTTCCTTTTGCCTTTATAGTACACATAATGCTGCATCACATGTGATTGTTAGGTATTTCATATTGTTTTCCAATGGTTTCAACTGTGATGAATTGTTTTCATCTCTACACTGTAACTGTATTTGGTGCAATTTACAGTGCAGTTATACAAAGCAGTTGTTCCTAACTCTGCCTCTAAAGAAATTAATTCAACTCATTGGGCTTTAGTGTCCTTATCAATAAAATGAAAAAAGTGAATTAGATGATCTATCGGTTCTCTTTCAGCTTTAAAATTCTAGGACTAACTTTTGTGGTTGAAAGGTCTTCACTGTCAAGAAAGTAAAAAAACAACCCACAGCATAGGAGAAAATATTTGTAAATGATATATCTGTTAAGGGTCTAGTATCCAAAACATATAAAGAAACCTTGTTAACTCAACAAGAAAAAGACAAGTAACCCAATTTTAATAATGGGCAAAAGATCTAAATAGAAATTTCTCAAAAGAAGATACAAAAATGACTAGTAAGCACATTAAAAGATGTTCAGCACCATTAATCATTAGAGAAATGAAAATCAAAACCATGAGATATTACTTCACACCCACTAGGACGATTATAATTTGAAAAAGACAATAACAAATGTTGATAAGGATATGGAGAAATTGGAGTCCTCATGTAGTGCTGGTGGGAATATAAAATGGTGCAGCTGCTGTGGGAAAGAGTTTGGTAGTCCCCAAAATGTGAAACATAGTTACCATACGACCAAGCAATTCCACTCCTAGGGATATACCAAAGAGAAGTGAAAACATATGTCCACATAAGAACTTATACAAAAATGTTCATAGCAGCATAATTCATAATAGTCAAAAAGCAAAGACAATCCAAATGTCCATCAAATGATGAATGGATAAACAAAAGATGGTATACCCATAAAATGGAATATTATTCAGCCATAAAAAGGAATGAAGTACTGATACATGCCGCAACATAGATGCCTTTTGAAAACATTATGCTAAGAGAAAGAAGCCAGACACAAAAAGCTACAAATTGCATAATTCTACTTTTATTAAGTGTCCGGAATAGGCAAAGTCATACAGTCAAAAGATAGATCAGTGGTTGCCAGGAGACAGCCACTGTGGGAAGGGGGAATGGGGAGTAGCAGCTAGTGGGTACAGGGTTTGTTTTTGGGTGATGGAACTGTTCTGGAATTAGATCGTGGTAATGGTTATACAACTTTGTAAATATACTAAAAACCACTGAATTGTACACTTTCAAAAGTGTGAATTTTATGTTATGTGAATTATATTTTAATTTTTTTAAATTGCAGGACTGACCCAAAAACATATCTGCTAAAAAAAAAGAAAAGAAAAGCACAAGGACTCAGAATCCATGCCCATTTGCTTGTCAAGCTCTATGAGTGGAAATAATAAACAACAGGCTGGCCCCAAACTTAAGTCCTAACCCCAAAGCACCTTCCATCTATCCAGTGCACCAAGCTGTGGAACCCAACTTATGTCCTGGGACCATCAGCCCTACAGATAAGTATCATACCAGTCCACCAATTCTAAACTACCTAGGATATGCCCACCAGTAAATTAAGTGAAATCAGCCCTTCATCCCATTTGGTTCTGAATAGATGAGTATTGATGTAGCTAAATTATAATACATACCTACTCCCCAGGATAGTTTAGTTCCTTATGTATTCCACCCTATTAATTTTGATGATTTTTGTCACCACTGTTCACTCACAGATTATAGAAACCTGAATTTGGATGAACTTGTCCCACTTCCCTGTCAGCTACTTTAGGGTAGGCATACCATCTTTTTTTTTTTTTTTTTTGCAGTACGCGGGCCTCTCACTGTTGTGGCCTCTCCCGCTGCGGAGCACAGGTTCAGCGGCCATGGCTCACGGGCCCAGCTGCTCCGCGGCATGTGGGATCCCCCCAGACCGGGGCACGAACCCGTGTACCCTGCATCGGCAGGTGGACTCTCAACCACTGCGCCACGAGGGAAGCCCCAAGGTATAGTTGATTTACAATATTATATTAGTTTCAAGTGCACAGCACAGTGATTCAAATTTTTTATAGATTATACTCCATTTATAGTTATTATAAAGTATTGGCTATATTCCGTGTGCTGTATAATGTATCCTTATTTATTTTATACATAGTAGTTTGTACCTCTTAATCCCCTACACAGACATGCCATCTTGTAAGTCTTTTTATTCTCTGTACCTGCAGTTAGTAGGTGTCTGCTGAAGCAATGAAGGGATGCGTGTATCCATTCACTTAACAATCATAGTCTACCGTGTGCCAAGTATTACTGTACATGCTTGGGACAAAGCTCACTACTCTCGTGGAGCTTACTTTCTAGTGAAGAGATATACACAATAAACAAATAATAGTATGACAGAGATTACAGAGAAAATAAAGCAAAGAAAATGGGTATAGGGGATACTGTAGGTGGAGGAAGTTAATCAAGAAAAGACTCACTGATAAAGGGCATTTAAGCAAAAAGCTAAGGAGACCAGGGAGTAGAAATCTGGAGCAAGAGCACTCCACACAGAGGGAAGAACAAGTGCAAAAGCCCTTATACAAGAGCATGCTCATAATATTTGAGAAAGAGTACAGAGGCCACTGTGGCTGAACAGAGTGAGCGAGGGCAATGTAGGAAGACATAAGGTCATAGAGGTAGGGGACGGGACCACCACATTGAGCTACATAAGCTATGCACTGTACAATTCCAGGATTGTGCAATGAGATGTTCCTTTTGGGGGAAGGGGGTGGTGCAGGTGTGGGGAGTAGCTGATCATATAAACCCTGAAGGCTATTGTAAAGATTGGGTTTTTTTCCTGAGTAACACAGGAAAATGAGGATTTGAACAGAGATAGGACATGATCTGACTTAAGTTTTTAAAGGACTGTCCTGGTTCCTGTGTAGAAGAGACTTGGCAGGGGTGAATACAGCAAGAGCAGAAGAAGGGAGACCAGTTAGGAGGTCTTTGCAGTAACCCAGAGCAGGAAGTAGAGGTGGAGGTGGTGGGAGTGGTTGAGTTACATATATATTTTGAAGATGGAATCAACAGTACTTCCTGATAGATATCCCAGGGCCGAGAACATAATAGGCACTAAAAATGTACTTATGAAATGGATGAATTGGATTAGATGTAGAACACAAAAGAAGAGGATTGAAGCATATTCCAAGCATTTTGGCTTCAACAGAGGATGGAGCATAGGCCTGGAAAGATGCAATTATCATTTCCTGAGATGAACAGATGAATGAATAAGAGACTGGCTAAATGCTATTATATTTGTTGAACTAGTGAAGAAACTAAATGAAATCCATATGGATTCAAATATTATATAAAGAGGAGATATTAAAAATCCGAGTATTTAGTGATCTGCAGAACATGGGTTAAGCAATCTATTATTATAACTTGCTATTAAGTTGATGCTAGGAAAATTTTCTGACATTCTGGATTGACTCTCAAGAAAAAATCAATGAGGATGAGCAAGTGGTTGCCACATATTTCTCTTTCTTTTCCTCTTATTGCCTCTATATGTGATTTTGTAAGCCCTCTCACATCCTTGCTTTCCCTGACTTGGTTGGGTGGTATGGGAGTAAGGGGTTTTTGCTGTACATTTACATAGTTGCTGCTCCAAAAACCATCCATGTCGGTGTACACTAAATTTAAAAATTATAACTAGTTGGTTTGCATGCATAATAACTTAAATGGTATTGTGTAAAGAGGAGTAAGCCTTCTTTTTTCAAATTTATTTATTTTTGACTGCACCGGGTCTTATTGCGGCACATGGGATCTTCGTTGTGGCATGCAGACTTCTTAGTTGCAGCATGTGGACTTCTTAGTTGAAGCATGTGGACTCTTAGTTGTGGCATGCAGACTCTTAGTTGCAGCATGCATGCAGGATCTCATTCCCCAACCAGGGATCGAACTCAGGCCCCCTGCATTGGGAGCATGGAGTCTTACCCACTGGACCACCAGGGAAGTCCCAGGAGTAAGCCTTCTAATTTCTGCAAATATCTCCATCATTAATCTAGACTAGTCAGGAGGGAGCAAGAGAGGAAGTGGGGCTCATCAGGATTAGGCCAACCCAGAGAATTTTGCCTACCCAGGTTACCAGACTTGAAGTGGGTGATGGAGTTTGAGAAAAGCCTAAGAGGAGGGAGAAATGGTGAAGCACAAAAATCTCTGCCCCAAAAGGAAGGAACATCTTGCCTTTCCCTAGTCATTCATTGACTACCTATGTTCAGTGGACAGAGCCAATGTTGGGAAAATAGAATATTAAGCTTCTCACCTCAAGGTACTTACACACTTAGTGAAAGCAAAAGAGCCAGGGAGAGAAGTGAAGGGCATCTGCCTGTAAAGCCTGATTCGCCTACAGGGGCAGCATCTCTAAGAGGGAGGTAGCTACTTTTTTTCCCCCTGAAAAATCCAGTTCCCATTGCTCTGGTAACTGAAGTAACTGGTGAGATTCTCTTCTCCTTAAGGCTCATATATCTTTTTTTTAAATTAATTAATTAATTTATTTATTTATTTTTAGCTGTGCTGGGTCTCCGTTTCTGTGCGAGGGCTTTCTCCAGTTGCGGTGAGCGGGAGCCACTCTTCATCGCGGTGCGTGGGCCTCTCACTGTCGCGGCCTCTTCTGTTGCGGAGCGTAGACTCAGTAGTTGTGGCTCACGGGCTTAGTTGCTCTGCAGCATGTGGGATCTTCCCAGACCAGGGCTCGAACCCGTGTCCCATGCATTGGCAGGCAGATTCTCAACCACTGCGCCACCAGGGAAGCCCAGGCTCAAATACCTTTAACTATACAGGATGAATTAGGCATTTCCCTGAAATGTTAGGTTTTCAGAGTCCACAAATTATAAATCACATTGAGACATAACCTTTTCCCATAAAACCCCTCTCTCCTTTGGTGAACAGTACTGCATAGGAAGAAGCCTAATACTAGATGTTCTCCCTCATCTAATAGTCACTTCCTTTTTATTCTTCGTAAAATCAGAAGGGAATATGAGCCTAGGCGATTCTTAGATTGATATGGTTGAATTAATTCCTATAGAAAACAGCTATATTTATGCAACATCCCTACTTAAATATCTTCAGAATTCCCCAATGCTAATGCTAAAGTCTAGACTCCCTTAGCTTAACAATCAAGATGTATATGTATACACAAAAAACATGTTAAGGGCTTCCCTGGTGGTGCAGTGGTTGAGAATCTGCCTGCCAATGCAGGGGACATGGGTTTGAGCCCTGGCCGGGGAAGATCCCACATGCCGCCGAACAGCTAAGCCCATGCGCCACAACTACTGAGCCTGAGCTCTAGAGCCCGCAAGCCACAACTACTGAGCCCACATGCCACAACTACTGAAGCCTGCGCACCTAGAGCCCATGCTCTGCAACAAGAGAAGCCACGACAACGAGAAGCCCACGCACCACAACAAAGAGTAGCCCCCGCTCACTGCAACTAGAGAGAGCCCGCGTGCAGCAACAAAGACCCAACACAGCCAATAAATAAATAAATAAATAAGTTTATTAAAAAAAACATGTTAAATGAGTGACATGCTGGGTATAAGAGACTAGAAAAAATGAGGGAGACTGTGGCAATCAGGAAACCTTGGGTTCCAGTTAAAAGGGTGACAGTTTTTCTGCTCCTGCCAATTATTGCTAAGCAGGAATGGGGGCTATGTGTTCTCTGATCTTTGGGCTTTTCAGAAGTCATAAACTGATAACTTTTAAATTACCCATGTTTTCATTTATGAAATTCAAAAAAAATTTTAATGTTATTTAAGCCAAATAAAACTTGTATGGGGATCAAATTTGCAATCTCTGTTTAATAACCAACCCTAGCCCAAATACCTAATCATTTTTGCTCCCATTATCTCACTTCATGCAGTCTTGAACAGTTCCTTGTCTCCTAAGCTCCCATGATTACTCTACGTGCTTTTGCTCTTCTTTCACTCTAGACTACTCTTCCCTAGGAGCTACATGCTACGTGTTAAAATTCTACTTCTCCCTACACACAAAACCTAAAACTATTAGAAGAAAACATAGGAGAAAAGCTTCATGACATTGGGTTTGGCAATGATTTCTTGGAAATGACACCAAAAGCATAGTCAACAAAGAACACAATCAACAGAGTGAAAAGGCAACTTACAGAAAGAAAACATTTGCAAATCACATATCTAATAAGGGATTAATATCCAGAATATATAAAGAACTCCCATAACTCAATAACAACAACAACAAGTGATAAAAAGACTTGACTTGGGCAATAGACTTGAATAGACATGTTTCTACAGTAGATATACAATAACCAACAAGCTTATAAAAAGACACTCAAAATCACTAATCATTAGGAAAACGCAAATCAAAACCACAATGATATATCACCTCATACCCATCAGGGTGGCTACTATCAAACAGAAAACAACAAGTATTGGTAAGGATGTGGAGAAATTAGAACTCTTATGCACTGTTGGTTGGAATGTAAAATGATGGCCACTATGGAAAACAATATTTCTTCAAAACATTAAAAATAGAATTACCATGTGATCCAGCAATTCCACTTCTGATGTATATTCAAAAGATTGAAAGCAGGGTCTTGAAGAGATATTTGTACACCAATGTGTCACAGCAACATTATTTATGACAGCCAAAAGGTGGAAGCAACCCAAGTGTCCATCAACAGATAAATAAGTGCTTTATCTTAAAATGTGGTACATATAATGCAATATTATTCATCCTTAAAAAGGAAGGAAATTCTGATACATGATACAACATGGATGAACCTTGAGGATACTACGCTAGGTGAAATATGCAAGTCACAAATACTGTATGATTCTACTTATATGAGGTTCCTAGAGTAGTCAGATTCATAGAAACAGAAAGTAG